TACATTATTTCACCACATACATTTAAATGTATGTTAGGTTAGTAATGGAGGTTATATGTCAAACATTGTCAAATTTAGGAGAGGTTAAGCAGCGAAAAATCGTTAATATTAATTTATTATTATTTACAGGTCGCAAGGGATTAAGTAAGCTCTATTTACACAGTGGTTCATAATTTATTCATTAATTATTAATTTATTTCATTTTCGGCTTGTGAAAATACTAACAGATTCATGACAACGCTCACAAGACGTTTCGATTTGAGGTTATAATTATAGAGTGACATCCCTTAGAAGAACAGACGTACTTTTTCGACGTGGCTATTTGAATTGTTCAGCAGACATATTAAACTAATGCTATCTCTTTCTAACACACATTAGTCTCTAGCGGTTTGTGAATTTTAATTTACTACGTATGGCATTTGTAAGAGCGGAAAACGATGATTTACTGCCAGCTCTCGTGGCGTCTACTATACCATTAAAATTGTAATTAAAATTAATAAGATAGCGTTTCCATGTAAACGTTATTTTTTGGCATTTGTCATAGTTCAAATAAAGTTTGTTAACTCGACAGTAATCATGCAGACGATCAAGGTTCTCCTGAAGCCTCAGGCAGTCATGACTAGAGCTGACTCTGGTAAATATTTTATTATCATCCGCATGGAGCAGGAATTTGGAAAATTTAAAGCAAGAAGAAATGTCGTTTATGTAAATTAGTAATACTGTAGGCCCAAGGTGACTTCCCTGAGGCACACCAGATGAGATGGGTTTGAAGTCCGATAGGAAGCTACCCAACTTAACTGCCTGACTTCTGTGCGATAGATATGACATTATCCAGTGTACAATGCCGGCAGGAATGCTAAAGGGGGACAGCTTTTGTATAAGAATTCCATGGTCAATCTTGTCGAAGGCTTTAGAGTAATCGGTATAAATTGCGTCAACTTGTGAGTCCTCATTTAAAGTAGAATGAATAAAGTTAACATAAGACACTAAGATAGACTCAACCGATCGCCCAGGCAAGAAACCATGTTGTTCAGTAATGAGAGCAATAGAGTGAGGGAGCAAACTCCCTCAAAAAGGAAGATGGAATACCATCCGGACCAGAGCTAGAGGACTTGTCAAGATCGTTCAAAACATTAAGGACTGCGTCAACAGAGAACCAAGGTGAAACCCCTAACCACCGAAGACCATTGTTGGTCAACTAAACGGTCAATGATACCATCTACGAAAACCGAGGCGAAATACTCTGCAAATGCACAAGAGATATCAGGACCTGAGGTCACCACTGACCCATCAGCGGAAAACATGGTGGCTGGCATGCCAGATACATTCCCCTTCCTGGACTTAACAAAGGACCTAGGTAATCTCTATAATCAGCCGCAATAAGCCGCTTAGACCTGGAGTGCAAGATAGAGAAAGCCAAGTAATCACTATTATGGCGAGTAGATTTGCATTATTTATGGTAAAGTAGCTTTTCTTTAATTACTCGAATAGTTGAACGTTTGTACCAATAAGAAAAACGTTGCTTAGGTAAAGTGCGGTTAGGAACGTCTCTGTTAATTACATAATTAACGTGATTATAGAAAACTCCAACCATGCTCTCCACGCCCATCTCAGCAAAAACAGTCTGCCAATCAATACTATTTAAGAAACACTTGTTAGCTCCGGAATTCGCATTCTTAAAAAGAAAGCGAACATTCGAACCATCACTCAGACAAGTGAACATGCCTGATATTAAGAACTCAAACGGTGGATGGTGGCAGTCAGCATTCACAACTCTTTGGTCTTCCACAAGTATCTTTTAAAGAGATCACAAAACGAAACTGAAGGTCACATCATTAATTATTAAGTTTACAAAATTATAGTTCAACAAATTATAAAATAAATTTAAGGACGAATTTTTACACGTTGACAAGTTAAAATTTAAGAACGAATAATAACTAAAACCAGAATTAACACTAGCAGTGTCACTAGAACTAACATTAGACATAGAACTAGAAATACTCGCATTTAGCTGTTTGACTCTCAAGACGGCTAAACTAAGCCGTCCATTTAACAAAAATGTATAACAACTTGGCTTTGAATAACATCCAAAACTAGAACTAAAACTAGAAACATTTGCGTTTATCCATCTGGAGAGACGAAATGCTAAAGCCGATTGTTTCTAATTGTAGGTCTAGTATTAGTTCTAGTCCTAGTATTACTGCAAGCGTTAGGTCTAATTTTAGTTGTTATTAAGCGCTAGATTGTTGTATATTTTCATTCAACTAAAAGTAGAACTGATATTTAGCCATCTTGAAAGATATACGTTGTAAAGTTGGAAAAATTAACAGGGAGTTTTGTTTTATCATGTTTTGAAATAAATATGTCACACCGAGGTTTTTTTGAGCTTTCGTTATTCAAAAAGCCGAAAGTAATAAAATTAAAATAAGTTGAAGGCAAGAAAAAAACGCAACTTATTGGCAGTCGAACTAAAACGAGCGTTACTAAGGTCCAAATTGGAACTTAGAGATTTGCAGCTTGATCTCAGAACAAGAACTACTCAATCGTCTTTGTAAAATATTTAATGTGTTTTAGTATTTTAACAAATTCGTTCAAAGTTTATCTGGCAAAAATGTAGTGATAATGGATAATATTATTCTCATTCATCATTCAGTCCTCAGAGAAAATACACCCACGCAATCATCAAAGAAAAATGTTTTAATGCAATTTTTAATTGAACATAATGGTAACTTTAATGTTAATGAACACGAAACAAAAGTTTATCTTTAGGAAAAAATCGTGCTATTTTTGCAGCAAAATACAAAAAGATATTTCGTCGATGATCTTCTTCTGCAGAATAATCAACAAAATTAAACATATCAACTATTCAACGATGTTCTTCAAAGAGAAAAATCGTGTCGGTAACGTGTGGCATACTGCTTGGTTAAATTGTACAGCAGAAGTATTGAACAATTGTTAAAAAAAATTATTAAATTTAATAATTTAAAAAATTAAAAATATCACGTTAAAAACTTAATTGAAAACGACTGGCATATTCATATGGGTAATACTTCCTTGAAAGATCTTCCTCCATTCATCATAAACCTCAAAGACTCTGATTCGGAAGGTAATAAACATGAATATGATGCATAAAACACGTTTTGGCGTGTTTATTTGGCATTTATTTACCTAGAAAAGGTGTTTTGTTCCATTTCTTTACTTTGTAGCATATTTTTACAATAAATATGTACTTGGTTACAATCGTATTTATCTAAATTTTTTTATTTATCTAATATTTTAACCTCAACTATTTAGTTACTGAAAATGTTACTAGAAATCAAGAAAACAACATAATTTTATAAGGGTCTTAGGTAATACCAACGAAACCCTAAAAAATTTACCTTGACAAGTATTATAGTTCCACGTCTAGTTTTATTTGTTATTCAACACCAGGTTGTTTTATATTTTGATTGAATTAAAAGTAGAACTAATTCTAGACCTAGAACTAGAAACATTCAGATTTTGCCGTCTTAAAAAAAGCACGGAAATACATTAAGTAATAATAATTATATAATTAATATCTATGTAACTCCCTAATAAAAACGTGTGACATGTTTTAGTTAATCGCTTCTGAGTATGTTCTAGTGATAGTACTAGTTTTAGTTTCAGTTATGAAACTAAATATAGAACACTAGACCTAGAAATACAAACATTCGGATTTAGTCGTTTTAAGAAACGCAAGAAATACATTAAGTAACAATAATTATTATAGGAGTTATAACTCTCTATTGAAATCGTGTGACTATGTTTTAGTTAATCGCTTCGGTGATAATGGCCAGAAAAAATCTGATCTGAGCTTATGATGCAAATGGGTTAAAGCAATTAATTTAAAGCTGGCGAACTTTGTCCCATTAGTTCAAATGCGATTAACTAGGTAATGTGCTTAGAGAGGAAGAACAGCAGATAAAGATTGTCACGAAATGCATTAAAATGTAGTTATGAATTATTCAACATCTATCATTTTGTGGTTTTCGACGATTTCGTGAAATTAATACAACACAATGAACAAATTTTGAGGAAATTGATTCTATCTCTATTTCTTTGTTTATATTATTAACAAAAAAACATAAATGTACACTCATACTCAATAAAACTAACAATATAAGCAAAAAGAATTCTTGAAAAAATACCTTACAAGCGTCGCATGATCTGAAGTAATATCCGGGAGACAAAGCCAAACGAATAGCTTACACGATACAGTAGCCAAGAAAATAAAAAAATAAGATACCGATAATTTATATCACACCTACAAATGTATTACGTTTTTGATGCTTATTTCGTGAATATAACTTTAAAATTAAAAAAATTGTGCATTTATTAAAAGGAATGAAAATTTTGATGTGGCGCATTAAAACTGCACGGTTAAAACTTAGCATATAAATTAAATTCATTTTTGTTCTAGTTTATCTTTAACTAAAGTTTTTGTCCTTTTAACACACAATGCTTAAAAAAATTAATTAATAATTTGAAACCTCGTTTTCTTTATAAACAAAAATTAACTATACTTTTTTCTAAAAACTTGCTTAATCTTACCTAGAAATTTGTTTAATTACAATCTTCTCGTTTATAAAAGAAAATTAAACTGTCAATTCATTGTCCGAACTTGCCATCACTTCACCTTCACTGATCGAGTACCCGCGCGCTTCAGGCAACTTCCGGTTTAAACGGAGCGCACATCGCCTGGTAGTCGACGAGACTAAAGTGGTATGGAAGCGCCAATTCCAACAACCCCTCTTTCGGAATCCTGCCCGCGAATACATCCTCGTCCTTCGTGTCAACTGCGCACCAGCAACACCAAGAGTTAATGCTAGCAAATTCAAGAATTTAACCAATGCAAACTCGACGTCCATTAGATATCATTATACATAATCAATCTTAAGAACCTATTCACACAGAAATTGGGATATTTACACGAAACCGACTTTAAAGTGAAATGGGGAAATTAATTTTATTGTTATATTATTCTCTTGGTAACACCGTCAAATTTAAAAGTCTAAATTGTAGAATAAAAAACGTTAAAAATATACCCAAAAAAATTAGCCAACAAAATGAATGAAGTCGAAAACAAACTCGACGAGGATTACCTCTTTTATTTAGGATTTACCACAAGTTTTTTTCATAGACTCCCATCGGAAGCTGATGTAGCAAAATGCAAGGTGACAAACATTTCAAATAATCCATTTTACCAAAATTTATAATCCCCAAAAATTCTTTATACAGTCTTGGTTAGAAAGACTGTGTGGGACACCATGTCAAGGAGTAGAAGCTAAGCGCAACAGAAACATCTTTCTATCAAATTTAGTGTTATGCATGCAAGAAGGAAGATTAACCGGTCCATTTTTAGAGAATCCTAAAGATGTCGATATTCTAAAAGCTTCAAATTATTTTGGTGAAATGAAATGTAACAATGAAGAACCGGAATGGCTTGAAGAAGTTGTTGCGCAAGGAGCAATGTCTTTAACTGGAGATGAAGGACCAATGGAACATCCCAGAGAAGATGGTAGAACATACGTGGCAACTAGAACTATGCCAAACGGTCAAGGTGCTTTTGCTTACGTAGCTGTTTCTTTAGCCGATGATGAACCGATGTGGTTAGGTGGAGGAGAAGGGTATAGTTATCAAAACAAATCCAATTTGACATTAATATCTATTATTTTAGTGTTTTTGATGCTCGAATGAAAGAAAAATTTCAAGAATTTATTCCCCCCATTACTGAAATGGAAAGAATTTTAGCTAAACGCAAGGATCCCAAAGAACGGGAAAGAGTGATGACGTTCTACAACGTTTTATTGCGAAATATAGCAGATGAATTAGACGGTTTAGTCAAACAAGAAGATAATGATACCGTAAATGGACTTATTGATCAGCTTGAAAGAGATTTAGCCGCAAGGGGAAAACTTTGCTGTTTGCAAGATTTATCAAAAAAAGAAAAACGAACAGAATTATTATTAATGCTACATGATAGAGTGTACAGTAGAAGGGTTAAGGTGCAACAAAGAGAAGAAGTGCTAGACAACATTGAAAAATCACTTCCAAAATCATTTTTCGATATGTCCTTATCAGAAGAAGATAGATATAAACTCCCAAGTTTAATGTGGGAGCAAGCAATATGTAAAGCTCCGCAAAAGAAAAATTTAATTACTTTACAAGAAACTTATCCAGGTATTTTGGTGAAAAAGTAAGTTTAATTTTAAAAGTTGTCTACTAATAAGTTTCTAAAATCCAATTTAAGTTGTTTAATGTATCTATCGCTTCCTAATTGAACGAGATGAAAGATTAATTAGAAACTATTTTTAAATAGTAACAAAAATTTGTTTTAGATTCATCGAACTTATGGCTAATCAAAAAGAAGAAATTGCTATTCGAATGCAACGACGGCACGATAATATCGTTTCACAAATGAAAAAGGAACTACGCATAGAGGGTGAGAAATTTACGAAATGGGTCGAGGTACGTTATTTCTGTTATATTCACTCGGTCCTATGTTTTTACAATTTTTTATTAGTGGTCGATACCGATTGTCTCCCTCGAAGTGATTTCGACAGACGTCGAAAAGTTCCAAAGTTTATTCCAGTCGTTAAAAAGTCGGTTCAGAACTTTCTCAATATGCAAACCATTTTTTGTCATTTCATACCCATAATGACGTTATTTTAAAACCTACAATTCTAAAAGTCGATTTCTTAACGACAAAATTTAAAATTTCCTCGTGTTACTTTTAGAATAAACTACCGCAAATTTATTTTTTGTTAACAAGATGCGAAGGACGGAGATTGTTTCCAATTAGTTTCTGCTTAAAATTAGATGCTTTTCTTACCCTATGGGACAATGACGACCTGATGAGCTTTAGCTAATTTAAGTTGTCCAAGAAACATTAAAGTGTTATTATGTTGATTATCTCGAAAAGTTACACCTTTAGTTTATTATCAATAAGAAACATAATTAATTTTGTATAATGAGTAAATTAAAGTGCACAAAAAGTTCCATTTTTTCAGAAATCGTGTTTACACAGCATTCTAAATTATTGTGCTCTAAAAGCAAGACATATTATTCGAAACCACAGCTTATTCATCAAGCTTGGACGATATTGAACCCACGCGTATCCGTGCGGGATAACTGAGTTACCCCACGATTTAATGTTTACCTTCCACAGGAATGATTCTTCATGTATGCCTTAAATAAACACTAGTGAACGCGATCATGATTTATTTGTTTTAATTTTTACCATTAGAGATAAGCGTTTTTTAAATTTTATTTCGGGGTAATACAGTGACCCCGCACGGGCTGCCTTGACTACACCGAGTGCTAGAGATACACAACTCGTGAACGAGTTAAATCCTGAAAAAGCTTGTTAAATACTCAAAGTCGGGCTTTGAATGGAAATCAACACCTCGTGCGAATACAAGACGTATCGCAGTGAACAGTTTGATTTATGAAACTCCTGTAGAGACAGAAGAAGATCTGGTGGCATAAGTTATGATCGCCGCAGGTTAGATTGCAGATACACCAGGTGATACACCACTGCCTGGTGTGATGAAGCGGGTTCATTCGTAGATACAAAGCGTGCAACAAAGTAGGTAGCACCGCACTTGTAGTGGATCAGAATGCCATTTTTTAAAAAGAACAAAATCTGTTTAACCCATGCACCAGTCACTCGTATTAATGAAATTGGGAACATACGTTTAATTCTGGATACTGTCACTTATGGCGTTGCTTTCGATTACAGAACCCATTTTGGCAATTTTTTGAGTTGTCAGTTTGACTGGTTTGACCAGGTTTGACATAGTAATATTTTTATTGCGTTGTATTGTGTACAGTGGAAGAGTTGCTAGCGATTTGAAGAAAAAGTGATTTGTTGTTGTTGCTTTATAATAAGTACACTTCGATTGATGCGGAAGCAGCATTGGATAAATGCAATAAAATTAAAAGGAAACGATGTGGTAAAAATAACAATAAAAAAATTAAAGAATAAAGTCTTTGTTATTCATTTAAAGACTTTTTAATAAACCCTGTACCAAATAAAATTTAATACCTAGTCATGTTTTTTTGATGTTTTTTTTTGTAAAACATTGTAAACGACAAAATTTAATGTGTTTAAAGTTTTGCACAGTTTGTAAAGTTTTGTCGCCAAGCAATGTTTTCGTAAAAAATCATCGATAAACCTTTCAAATAACAAATTTAATTTATATTTCCCGCCTGCCAATGATTTCAGCGCTGTAGGTGACAATATCCAAAACTAATTGCGCATTTCAATCAAACGTTTATAGTTGCCCATCTATATAACAAATATATTATATCTTATCTATGGTTTCTCGCAAACCACTCATTCGATTTTGACGTTTCTTTTTTTGATCGAAAGGTTGATTCTTCTGTAATGTTTGTTCGGACATTAATTTGAGTTGTGGTTGCTGAGGATATATTACAGAAACACCAAGTGTAATAGAGCGAGTTTATCAGAATATCATTCGTAGGTACAATGCATACAACGAAATTGGTGGTCGCCACATCAAACCGCGCTTATAGTGGATCAGAATGCTAACCATCCTTTGAAAAAGACAAAAACAGTTTAAGTGTAACTGTAAACAAAAGTGTTTGTGAAAAATGATACAGTTTCTTTCCTGTTTTTTGGTTATTAATGATTTGAATTGTCAAACAAGTTATCTTTAATCATAAACAGCGTTAAAAACTTATTTTCAAACGGCTGTAGCATGTGAAACCTATGCCATTCAAAACATTATCTACTCAGTCACCTCTACAAGTGCTAACCTAAGCGAAATTTGAAAGCGTTTTTATGTATCATGTGCGTTAATCAAACAAACTTTGTTTTCATAGCGAAACAACTACAAAAAATAGCTCTGCTCTACAGCAGAAATTTAGTAGAGGACTTGAAATCTAATAAATTTCCGCTGCATGATAAAACCTACTCTACCAAAAAGGTTCTGTTATGCAAAAGATAGATCATATTCTTTTATTTTGAGTTATCAGGTCAAAGCAGATTACATCAATTTTGGATGCGTGCAAACTTTTATAACTGGCGATATGTATATACGAATCATTAAGCAAATGAGTGTGTTTCAAAATGGAATGAAGAGCATCCTGGACAAGATAAACGGTGGAGGAACGTTACATTAAAGGAACTAAAAGCTTTTATAGGAGTGCTAATTGCTCGTGGAAGAGATCGGGAGAAAAAAAGCATATAACTGTGTATACGGGAATGTTAAATGGGTGAAGAGAGACAAACCAAGGTCAAAGAGTTGTTTTGGATATAGTTCGATCATACTTTGGTTCTTGGCGAGGAGTAACTGCAGATAATTTTTTACATCTATTCCTTTAAATCAAGAGATTTTCGAGCAAAAACTTGCCATTACAGGAATATTGTGCGTAAATAAACGTAAAGTTCCCAATGAATATTTGCCACGTGTATCGCATCTAGAATATTCTAGTTTATTTGGTTTTACAGATGAGCTTGCATTAGTATCCTATGTGCCACAAATTAGAAAGGCTGTTCTGTAAACACTACTGTAAACCCAGTTTAACAGTGCCGATAAAGCAGGTAATACGCAAAATGAACCAGACATAAATATCCATTATAATCAAACAAAGAGTGATGTTGATACTGGGAATCAAATGACCACAGAGTGCAGTTGTATGGAAATGATCAGAAATGATCAATGACAAAAGCTACTGCAGACAATTCCTACAAAAATTAACTTAAGAAATAGCAACGCCTAATGTACGCCATAGAAAATTAAACGATAAAATTTGCACATCTCCGTAAAATTTGCCATCGACATTTATTTATTTATTTGCATTCGGGATGCAAACAGGGTTGACCACCTCAACAAGCATCCACAAAAGATCCAAACAAAAATTGATTACAAAAAACATAAGAGTACAACAAAAAAAATTGTAAATCAAAAAGCATATAAGTTATTGTTACTTATTTAAATAATAATACAAAGCATTAATAAAGTAGCAACGATCCCTCCATACCCACGCCCCGCAAGAAACGTTTGAAAGCAGCCAAAAAAACATGAAAGATATCGATATTTCTACAGTAAGAGTCATGCGTATTCATTATTCTAACAAGAGGTAAGTAAAGATGTACTGAAGATAAGGATCTACTAATTCTAAACAAATATTTACCATGTGTTTGATATGAGGGCACACAAAAACAAAATTCTCTCACCAATTCCGAGGAATTTAAAAGATTGTTGACTAATTTAATTTAAACAGTCGTAGCACAATCTCTTTCGCTTCAATGTCTGAAACCCTAGAGCATTGCAACGTAAAAGATCATAGTCATCGTAAGGTAAAACTGTTTTTCGTGCTAAATACCTTAAGAATGTACGCTGAACGAATTCAATGCGGTTAATGTGAATAGCTAAGAAACCACTAACGCTATATAAAGAGATTTAATACATTGAATATTTGTGAACACACGGCAAGTTCTAATCACAAAACCCAACCGTTTTAGAGCCTTGGCAATAGTAAAGTCCACATATAAATTGAACATCAGTCTGCTGTCGAACAAAACTCCAAGATCATTAATGTGGTCATTCGAGATTAAATTTCCGACTCCCAATGTATAAGAATTGTTTAGTGGAAAGCGTTTACGTGTGAAAGTGATTTTGGAACACTTGTCATAGTTCAGGAACAGGCCGTTATCAGCTCAGTAAAGCTGGAACCGGTGTAGATCCACCTGAAGATTTTCAGAATCACGTTTGTTTGTAATATTATAAATATTTTACAATCATCCGCATATAACAGGAATTTTGCATGTTTAAAGCAAGAAGAAATGTTATTAATGTACGCCACAAAGAGGATAAGGTCAAGGTGGCTACCCTGCGGAACGCCCGATGTGATAGGATTATAGGAGGATGCAACCCCAGCAATCCTCACCGACCCATTACGTACGACCCCAATCATGTCAAAAGACCTTGCGGTACATCAAAGTTACTTAACTTCTGCATCAAAATATTATGATCAATCTTGACAAAGGCTTTAATAAAATCGGTGTAAACCGCATCGACTTGAGGGAATTATGAATATAATTAGTATAAGAAACTAGGTTAGTTTCCACCGATTTACCCGGTACAAAAGGCATGTTGTTCCGTAATCAGGCTATTAGGTTTCACTAGGTAAAGTAAGTAAGAATATTTGATTTTTTCAAAAACTTTCTAAACCAATGACAAGATAGTAATGAAAGATAGTAATCGAGCTTTATTTAGAGACATCACCCCTGCACCTGACTTAAAAACCGGCAGCACAAACCGCCTCTTCCACTCAATAGGAAAGAAACCAATACGTAAGGACAAGGAGAAGATTAAATTTTTGATTTAATTTCCCGTACAGTATCAATGTTACACAAAATGAGATCAAGTATTGGTTTTTTATTTTATTGTATTTCTATATCGATTTCGAGGAACAATCCTCATCTTCAGTACAATCTT